AGGTTTAAAAAAAAAAAAAAAAAAGTATAAAAAAAAAAAAAGCATCAGCAATGTCAAGTAACTTCACTAATGTCAATTTTTAACTGGCTTAATGTTGTCAAGGTTTAATTTCATTGTAGAAGTGTTTCCTCGTTCTCCGCTTGTTTCCTGCAACTGTTTCATATGAAACTGCCTTCCAGGTTGTGCACTAAAGGTCTTATTTGGTTGTAGCGCTGGGTGCGTTTTATAGGGCGTTAACTGTTTGATTTGCATGCACCACGTTGAGAAATGAGCTGCTTGTGGTTTTTGCATAAATGCACTTATTGTAACATGACTTAAGTGTCTGCTTTACAGATTGAAGTGGAATGTTTCTTTTGAAATGAAAGTAGGCAATGTGCTGAGGGCGGAGGCCATGTCACCGATTCAGCTATTTAGTTTTTGAAAAATTAATATTTTCTGCCTTGAATAGTTAAACCGTATCTAGTGCTTGTGATTTGTTTCTCACTCGGATTTTGGCTTGTAGGTTCCCATAAGTGTCACTGTAAATGCTGGGATTTTTTTTTTTAAATTGCATCGGTTTTAAGCTTAATTCATTAAAGTTTATTAAAACCATTTATGGTATGTAACTTTCATTTTGTGTCTGTTAATCATTTCACAGCAGGGAGGCGAATGATTCTACTGTGTCTTTAAATGATGTGAAAAAGATGAGGTCCTATACTTGCACTTTTCCACATTTGATGCCAATAAACCATCCTATAATCAGAGCTCGGTAGATTACTTACAAATTGTAGTCCGTTACAGATTACATGATGATGAACTGTAGTTAGCGCTGTAATCTAGGTTAGTCACTTAAATTATTATTATTTTTTTTAAATCCAACTTGTTTCAAGCTCACAGTTTAAACATACATTGATAAAAACGGTGTATATTCAAGGTTTTGATAACACAAAGCATTGTTACTTTAAACCAGGGTTTCCCAAATGGCTTAATGTGTTTAAAAAAAAAAAAAAAAAAAAAAAAAAAAACTGCAGTGGGTTTGAGTCGCTTAAAGCTACTAATTAATGTAAAATAAATTGAAACGTGTCAACGCTGAAAATAGAAATCTTTATTTTTGTACATGCATTGACCTTTTCTAGACTTTTTGTTTGAGTTTTGTGGGAGTGAGTGATCATGTAACTTTGAATGTACAGTTTATTTTTCATGCATGGTGATCATCTGGTAAGTTTCACAAAGTTTAAAAAAAGTCTAGTAAAAAATATTGAATATGTCCTATAGTGTCTAAAGACTGTCTCTTTTGTGCTATTTAAAAACTAAATATTACAGACACGTAAAATGAGAGTAATAAAGATTAATTTCTGTGTGTTTGCATTAGCTACGGAAAGATAATGGATGCTAGATTTGTGATGCTGATCGATTAGAGTGGGTTTTATCTGGTCTAGGACAAAATAACATTTGGAATGACAAAAGTGTGGATGTTGAATAAACGGAGCTCACTATTGAATTTCCATCCCTTTGGCTCAAATGGGATGGCCTCACAGGAACTTTCTTTCCCAGCTGTTGGCCACTCTTTGTGGGTCGAAACTCATTACAAAAGCTGACTCCAAGTGGAAAATTATTCCAAAAGCAAATGGGCATATGATTTTTTTTTTTTTTTTTTCTCCACACAATAACATCGGTGCTGTCCCCAGTGATGCCTTTTGTATGCTTTTGCATTAATACAGTAGTGGCACCTTTGAGAATAACTGTATTGAACAAAATATTGACAGATATCTGTCAAAGAATGTTGAATGTGCAACTAGTAAATAGAGAGTCAGTTGGGATTATATGCAAAACAATTTTACCAGCTTTTGTGTGTGGTGCAAAGGTTGCTTGGAAACCCGGTATT